GTCCCTGGTTTTCCTTTCTTGTAATGTTCTTAACCAGTTTTGTTGTCTAGGTTATGCTGCTTCAAAAGTGAATGGGGGCCGGGCGCCTGTAGCCACACGGGAGGCTGAGGCAGGAGAGAATGGCATGAACCTGGGAGGCGGAGCTTGCAGTGAGTGGAGATCGCCCCACTGCCCTCCAGCCTGGGTGACAGAGCGAGACTCTGTCTCAAAAAAAAAAAAAAAGTGATTTGGAATTTATTCCCCTTTTCTGGAACTTTGTATTAGATTACTGGCTTTGGTGTTTCTTCTTTTGCAATGTGTGAATTTAAGGTTATATATTTCTTTTCTTTTTCTTAGACAGTCTCACTCTATCACCTAGGCTGGAGTGCAGTAGTGCCATCTTGGTTCACGGCAACCTCTGTCTCCTGGGTTCAAACGATTCTTAATCCTTAGCCTTCCAAGTAGCTGGGATTACAGATGTACACCGCCATGCCCGGCTAATTTTTGTATTTTTAGTAGACATAGGGTTTTGCCATGTTGGCCAGACTGGTCTTGAACTCCTGGCTTTGAGTAATGCACCCACCTCAGCCTTCCAAAGTGCTGGGATTACGGGTGTGAGCCACCACACCCTGCCGAGGTTATGTATTTTTTACTCATGGCACCCTCGAACTCCTGGGCTCAAGCAATCCTCTTGCCTCAGCCTCCCAAGAGCTGGGAGTACAGGAGAGCACCACCACACTCAGCTTTTATTTATGTATTTAAAAAAATGGGGTCGGCTGGGTGCGGTGGCTCATGTCTGCAATCCCAGCATTTTGGGAGGCCAAGGTGGGCAGATCACTTGAAGTCAGGAGACCAGCCTGGCCCACATGGTGAAACTCCGTCTCTACTAAGAAAATACAAAAATTAGGTGGGTGTGGTGGCGTGTGCCTGTAATCCCAACTACTTAGGAGACTGAAGTAGGAGAATCACTTGAACCCAGGAGGCTTTGGTTCCAGTGAGCGGAGATCACACCACTGCACTCCAGCCTGGGTAAGAGAGACTCTTCCTTAAAAACAAAAACATATATATCTATATGTACAGATATAGATATATATTTTTTTCTAGTTTCCTTTGCGATTTTCTTGACCCACGGGTTATTTAGAATTATACTGCCTAAGTTTCAAACAGCTAGGGACTTTCTAGTTCTTTTTCCTAGCTTACTCTCACTGTGGTCAGAGAATATTGTATTAAATTTTTTGAAAACTTTTTGAGGCTTGATGGTCCAGCTATGATCAGTTTTGATAAATGCTTAAGTGTAATTAAAAAGAATATGTATGCTATTGGTTAAGAGTGCAAGTGTTCTCTGAATGTCAATTAAGCCAGGTATGTTAACTGTGTTATTTAAATGTTCTGCTTGTTGGCCAGGCACAGTGGCTCATGCCTGCAATCACAGCACTTTGGGAGGCAGAGGCTGGTGGATCACCTTAGGCCAGGAGTTCGAGACCAGCCTGGCCAACACAGCGAAACCCTGTCTCTACTAAAAATACAAAAATTAGCAGGATGTGGAGGAGGGTGGCTGTAATCCCAGCTACCCAGGAGGCTGAGGCAGGAGAATTGCTTAAACCTGGGAGGCAGAGGTTGCAGTAAGCTGAGAGCGTGCCATTGCACCTCAGCCTGGGTATTAAGAGCAAAACTCCGTTTCCCAAAAACAAAACAAACCAACGCATTTTCTGCTTGTTATATCTGCTTTTGAAATAAACATATCAAAATATTTTTCCAAAAATTAAATTCCATAATGTATCAGGAAAGAAAAATATTTTATTCTATGGTTTCCTATTCCAAATTTTTTCTTTGGGTTTTTGAAAGCAACTTTGTATATCCCCCTTTTCCTAGCCTTTAAGCAGCAGGAACAGTGAGCAGAGGAATAACATGTAGTTAGTAAGGAAGGCATGCTCTGAAGGCTACCAATGCTGCTCCTGTTCCACCAATGAAACAGCCACAGGCCCTCTAAGGCCCTTGAAAAAAGAACGTGGAAGCGTAGGTCAGCTGTGTCCCACTGAGAGCCAGACATGGAAACAATCCTGGAGATGTGCTCCAAGCCTTGAACTTGAGGAAATGAACATCAAAGTTCATGATAAGGTGTTTCAAGCATTACCTTGTCACTGTGGAAGTCTCTCCCTACACTGGCACTAAGTTCTGGCCAATATGGCCAGGAGTGAAGTTCTGTCCCAGTAAAAGATACTTTCATCAGGCAAGGGGCATCATCCCCCTCCCAGCTTCCCAAATAGCTTTTGTACCTCAGATGGAGTCTCCCCAAAAACATGTTCACAAAAGAACCACCACTGCCATCTTGGTAGGGCTGTGTGTGTGTGTGTGTTGTGTAGGTGGATAGAGGGTAGAAGCAGGCATGACAAGGATCACCTGACCAAAGTGCCTAGTTACCCATATACTGACAGAATAAAATCTCCAGTGTAAAGGAAAAATTATTTTTACAAAAACAGAAGCATGTTTTATTTCAATCCTGTTGAGGGATAGGGATGGGAAAACACAAAATAAGGGGAGGGGTCTCTTTATATAATACACACATCAGGATCAACTACAATGAATAATATCCATTCCACCCCTCCCCCACCAACTCCTATGTGGGTTCCAAGGCCAGCTGAGAATAGATGGGACAAGAATTAAGACACTTTGGCACAGTAACATGGCCAATGCACCGAAAGATGGAGAGAAGAGAATTTCCCAGGGAGCAAGGCCCTGGGCCTCAGCTGCTTCCCCAGTGGAGGGGGAATGAGAAAACTTTGGCTCAGCAGGAAGGCGGTTGTCAAAAATCAGGGTTACCTTAACTGGACTCTCCAGACTCTATTCAGACTACAGACTAGAGTCAAGATGTGTATCCAGTCCATTCTGTTCTCTGCTTTCTCTAAGATCACTTCTCTTCAGGCTTGCGATTATTGAGGGTTTGCCTGCTTCTCCTCTTCATCTTGGAAGGCAGGGGGAGTAAGTGCTTATTCTGCCCTTCTTATATCTAGACGACTTAATTACTATTTTCTTGGCTCTAAAAAGACAGAAGCCAACTAACAAGTCCGGCTCTCTTTGTGAAAGTCGGCTTGAAGGAGCCCTTGTGTTGGCAAAACTGCCTCCGCAAATTTTTTTTTTTTTTTTTTGAGCCTGCCCCTTATAGACCCTCCCCAGACTTGTTCAGACACCTCAATTGTGTGAGATGTGGGCAGAAAAGACTTGGTCCCTCTCCAGAGTTGGATTAAGAAATCCCATTGAGATGGGGATGAGAAAGTAGGTGCTAGCAGGGGAAAGGACTGGGGAAAGCAAGGCAGTTTACACTTGGCTGCAGATTCAAGCCTATGGATTGTGAAGAGCCATCTAAGCTCCAGAGAAGAGGAAATCTCTGATACGGTAAGAACAAGTGAATATTTTAGCGGCAACCCTGTATTCCCATAGACCAAAAGAGAATGTGTCAAAAAAAAAAAAAAAGACTGAGTGAGCAGAATCCAGCCCTCCATCTTCAACCATCTTCAATTTGAATAAAATTAACTCATACGGCTAATACTGCTCAAGTATAATCACGAAGACAGATGGAGCTGCTGAAATTCACACTAAAACAAAGAATAGGATCAAGTGGACTGTCACCTTAATCCCAAGCACCTCCCTTTTAGAGTTATCGAGAAAGTATCTTTGAAAACTTGGATTGAAGGTGAGGTCCACCACCGCCCCTTGTCCCTCAATACAATACCCTTCCAAGACAGCCTGATGAATTAAGACATCTGTTTTAATAGAAGGGAAGTTTTAAAAAGGGAAAGCACGGAGATTTGGGAAAACTAGCAGCTAAAGCCAGAAACAAGGTTAAGGTCCTTGTGGCATTCCAGACTGGGAGTAGAATGGGAGAAGGGAAACAGGTGGTAGGTTCCTGCTGTCCTTTGGCTTTACATCTTTCCCCTGCCCTCCCATTTCTCCCAACAGCTTGATGCAGCTATTGGCCTGCCAGAGGGGATGTAATGCCCAGACCAACTTTTTATTGAGCTTATGCAGCTAACAGACTTGTAAACAGTGCCAATTGACAAAGTTTTGCTGAATATTACAGCTTGTGCCCACTAAACACACCTCTCTCTGAGATTAAAAACAAAAAAACCAAAGTAAACAAATACTGAGAGAGAATGAAGAGACACATCTTGAGTCTTCCAGGAAGGCAAAATAAAAAACGCCACATGGCTTGGTCCCAGGCGTTCACCATGCCTAGAGTGCTGCCGCTATCACCACTGTCTCCCCTCCCTGCCAGTGGCTAGGTAGAGGTAGGGGAGAAGGGTCATCTTGGACATGCTGCAAATACAGCATTTGCTGGTGTTGACACCCTCCTGGGGCTGTGGTGGCAGACTGCTGTGTCAGGAGCCCATTTCCTGGGAGTAGCAGAGGGAGCCCAGGTCCTCAAGACGGCCTGAGATGGCAGCCCATGCACCTCAGCAGGGGTACCTTGCCCCTTTTCTCCAGTATGGTTCAGCATTGAGGTTGTCTATTCCCAGTCGGTGATAAAACCTGAGCTGTTTTTCTCATAGGTTCCCCCTCCTTTCCCCAATTTGGGGGAGTAGTGGGAGGGAACAGGGAAGGATCACTGAGGGGGCAGGGGGATACCCCTGGGATCGGTGACCTGGCCCTCTTGCAGGTTCTTCACCAGTTGTGCAAGCCAGCGTTTCGTGGTGGTGTCATCTTTTAGCACCTGGGCGAAGGTTGTGTCTTTCAGCTGGTCAGGGAGGCACTGCCTGAGTGCTTCACGTGCCCTACATCAGAAACAAACAAACCAACCAGGGAAACCAACAAATAAACCCACATTTTGTGGACAGGGAAGAGCCCCCTTCTTAGACATAAATATTTAGTATACCGTGAATCTATGGCTCCTTAAGACGCCATTAAAATTCTCTAAAGCTGTATTAGGCATAGGCTCACAGATCTCCAAAATCTGTATCCACAAACATTTTCTGAATGATGCCCCAATGTAGAATTTCATGAAAAAGCAAAATTAAAAGCTTCAATAGTTTACTTCCATTCAAACAGCTTTCTGATTTATTATAGTAAATACTGTCAAAATACTCATGTTAGAAATATATGGATTATGGCAAATAAAATATTTCAAAAATCAGTACATTAACAAGGATATAATCAAGATTATGATAACTTAATGAATTTTAATTCTATACTAAGTTATCAATTTGTGTCTTTACAGAAATTGCTTCAGTTTTATGGTTAAAAACCTTAATAAGAGATGAGCAGTGAAAACAAAACTATGGTAGCAGCATTATCAGATGAACTTTTAAACGTTTCATTTTCTTTGAAAAGATGACCAGCAGAAAGTCAAATCTGAAAACCTAAAAAAGGTAAATGTTAACTATTTATAGAGCTATTTTAAACAAAGTTATAGTTTTGCACTCAGACTAGTTTTCTTTAGAAACTAGTCTGACTAGTTTTTTAAACAGACTAGAATTTTAAACAGACACATTTTTAAACTTTGGTGAAAACAAGAACCACTGAAGAACAGGATAAAATGGTCAACAAACAGGTAGGGCTTGAATAAACTCAGTGGCAGGAGACCGAGTTCACATTAAATCAAATCAAGCTAGCTCTGCTCCCAAGAACACAGAAATCGCTCCATTATGTGGTTTAGCAGAATATGAGCAAGTTGCTTTCAGCATGAATTATGGATTTACAAAGCAAAAGGTCAAACATTTCTAAAATGCATTATATCTACAATGTATGATTTCTGGCAGAAAGATTATGAACATAAGCAGATAAAATAATTAGCTCAAGAAACTTATAGGAATCAAGGAGAGAACTGGAAATAGAATTCAAGAGCCCTCTGGGCTGTGTTCCTTTTTAAGAGATCTCTGAAAATATACTTCTCTTTCTGACCACATAGAGTAGCAACAGAAAATTCACACAACAGGAGTAATGCATCATAAGGTTTCCCTTGGAATCGCCTAGACTCTCTGGAATTTCACAGTAGGATTGAGAGTTACAGTGAGAAGATGAAACTCTGATGGCTATTAAAATTCAGCATTTCAGATTTTTTTTTTTTTTTTTGAGACGGAGTCTCGCTCTGTCTCCCGGGCTAGAGTGCAGTGGCCCGATCTCAGCTCACTATAACCTCTGCCTCCCGGCTTCAAGTGATTCTCCTGCCTCAACCTCCCGAGTAGCTGGGACTATAGGCATCCGCCACCACTCCTGGCTAATTTTTTTTTGTATTTTTAGTAGAGACGGGGTTTCACCATATTGGCCAGGCTGGTCTCGAACTCCTGACCTTGTGATCCGCCCGCCTCGGCCTCCCAAAGTGCTGGGATTACAGGCGCGAGCCACCACGCCCGGCCAGCATTTCAGATTTTAAAAGGAATCTAAGTTCTGTCTCAGACAAATTAAATGTAGTTATATCCCTACTTCCCTGTCCTAAAGACACAGGAGCTATGCCATGAGATTGGGAAACTGTTCAGCAGAGTATTTCCCTAAAGTCCTATACATCCTATCAATGTTTACCTGGGGTTATCTGAAAGCCGAAGGTAACATCTCACTACATGCTTCAGCAGACGGGCAGAAGGCTCTTTGGATAGCTGCAGGACCATCTTACCCTGTTTCCCCCCAAATAAGGGGAGGGGTTGGAAAAAAACACACAAAACACAAAAAAATTCTAATTGACATCAGAGATCAGATAGTCCAAGAATCATAAAAGGTTCCAAAATTGTTATTTCTAGTCAGAAGACTGAAGTTGTTCAGTGCCAGTTATAAAGAGATTAATAGCTGTGTGATGAGACGTAGTTGTAAAGGGGATAGATGAAAGAACTCACCAAGATCATGGCAACATGGGAGAAACGCTCATACGTCTGACATATATAAGCCAAACCAGTGTCATCTAACAAGATCTTCTGGAGGATGAATGTGGCAACCTGAAGCAAAACAAAATCGAAGAGTTTATGAAGTTGCTCAGATTTAATCTTCTCATTGTCTACTCATTTTCCCAAGCATGACTATCAGTCAGAAAATTGAGCAAGCAGGGATCCTTGTGTATTATGTACAACTTATCATATATGTATAGTACAAAGAATAATAAATATTACCATATTGAACATTACTTTGTACCAGTGTTTTCTTCTAGAGACTTTACATGCTTTATCTTATTTTTATAATAAATCAATGAGGTAGGTACCATTATTCTTCTCATTTTACATACAAGGGTAGGTTCTGTGTAATAATCAAATTCTTAAAAACTCAAGAGACCTTCTCATTTATAGAGTACCTACTATGTGCCAGGTATAACTGTTAATCAATAATACACCAGGTTAAGGTCCCAAGTGACAAAGTTACTGTGGCAGAGCTGAGATCCAAGCCTCATTTGAATATCTAAGGCTCTTCTCTTTTCCATAAGCCAAGATGATTTATTCAGCTATGCCTCGTCTCTTCCAGATGAAGTAAGGCCTTTCTTTTTTTTCTAGATGGAGTCTTACTCTGTCACCCAAACTGGAGTGCAGTGGCTCCATCTCAGCTCACTGCAACCTCTGCCACCCTGGTTCAACTGATTCTCCTGCCTCAGCCTCCTGAGTAGCTAGGATTATAGGCTCTTGCCACTGTGCCTGGTTAATTTTGGTACTTTTAGTAGAGACGGGTTTCACCATCTTGGCCAGGGCTGGGCTTGAATCCCTTGACCTTGTGATCCACCTGCCTCGGCCTACCAACGTGCTGGGATTACAGGCGTAAGCCACTGCACTTGGCCAAGGTAAGGCCTTTCTTGTTCTTAAAAGATCTTGAAGAAGTAAGATTTTAAAGTTTCTCTTTGAATATTATTCTAACAGCAATAAAACATATCCTGGCTGTGAAGCTTATACGTGGCCTCAATTTTTCCCTCAACTTAAGCTCATTAAGTCTTACATAGAAGAGATATTACAACATTAGTTTAATTCAAATCAGACAATCACGATAATGATACTCTTTCTTAGCTGCTCATCAAAATGAATTGTGGAATTATTTTACTATTTTATTGAGGTTATAACACTGTAGTAGGCTGACTAAGGGCTCTCAAAGATATCCAGGCCCTAATCACCAAACTCTGCAAATGTTACCTTAAATGAACAATGGGACTTTGCAGATGTGATTAACTTAAGGATCTTGAGATGGGGGATTATCCCAGTTTATCTAAGTAGGCCTTAAATGTAATCATGAAGTGTCCTTAAAATTGACGTAGAGAAGGCCAGGCAAAGTGGCCCATGCTGGTAATCTCAGCACTTTGGGAGGCCAAGGTGGGAGGATTGCTTGAGGCCAGGAGTTCAAGGATGCAGTGAGTTATGATCATGCCACTGCACTCCAGTCTGGGCGACAGAGAAAACACCATCTCTTAAAAAAAAAAAAAAAAAGAGAGAGAGAGAGATGTAGAGAGATTTTACCACAAAGGAGAAAGCAATGTGACAAGCAGAGAGAGATCTGAACATGCCACACCACTGGCTCTGACGATGGAGGGGGCCATAATCCAGGGAATGTAAGAAATGCAGTTCTAGAAGCTGGAAAAGGCAAGGAAAAGACTCTCCTCTATATCCTCCAGAGAAAGCATGACCCCTGATACAATGACTTTAGAATGGTGAAACTCATTTATAACTTGTGACTTCCAAAACTATAAAACAGTAAACTTGCATTGTTTTAAGCCACTAAGCTTCTAGCTTGTGGTAATTTGTTACAGCAGCAGGTTATATAGGAACCTAATATAAACGTATACACAGTGAAGTGTGTTAAGTACACTAATCTTAAGTGTTTCTTGAATTTTTACCTATGTACACATTATGTACTATAACCAGACTAAAATACAGAATATTGTATAAAATACAGAATATTTGGGAGGTGGAGGCAGGCGGATTGCCTGAGTTTAGGAGTTCAAGGCTAGCATGGGCTACATGGCGAAACCCCATCTCTACTAAAAATACAAAAAATTAGCTGGGTATGGTGGTGCGTGCCTGTTAGTCCCAGCTACTCAGGAGGCTGAGGCACAAGAATTGCTTGAACCTGGGAGGCGGAGGTTGCAGTGAGCTGAGATTACTCCACTTCACTCCAGCCTGGGTGACAAAGTGAGACTCTATCTCAAAAAAAAAAAGAAAAGAAAAAGAAAAAAGTATTTCTACCAACTCATGATTCCAGCATTCCCTTGTACCTTTCCCCAGTCAATGTCCTTCCCTCAGAGATAACCACGAATCCAACTTATTGCCAGTAATTGGCTTTGCTTGTTCTTGAACTTCACATAATCAACATACAGTATGAATTCCCATGTGTCTGGCTTCTTTTGTTCAGCAATGCCTTTGAGAGTCATCCATATATTGTATATTTAAAATAAAAAGTTTAAAAATAGCCAGGTATAGGGATGTGTGCCAGTATCACAGCTACCTACTCGAGAGAGGGAAGTGGGAAGACTGCTTGAGTCCCGGAGTTCAAGGCTATACTGTGCCATGATCATGCCTGTGAATAGCTACTGCATTCCAGTCTGGGCAAAATAGTGAAACCTCGTCTTTTTAAAAACAATAAATTGGCCAGGCACAATGGCTCATGCTTGTACTCCTAGTACTATGGCAAAAGGCAGGAAGATCCTTTGAGCCCAGGTGTTTAAGAGTAGCCCAGGCAACACAGGGAGACCTTGTCTCTACAAAAAATAAAAATAATTAGCTGAGTGTGGTGGAGCAGGCATGTGGTCCCAGCTACTTGTGAAGCTGAGGTGGGAGGATCAACTGAATCTGGGAGGTCGAGGCTGCAGTGAGCCATGCCTCTGTACTCCAGCCTGGGTGACAGAGAGAGAGAGAGAGAGATCCTGTCTCAAAATGAATAAATAATTTAATTAAAAATTAAAAACCAGTGCTCGCTTAGACAGCACATATACTAAAATTGGAACAACACAGAGAAGATTAGTGTGGCTCCTGTGCGAAGATAATACACAAATTCATAAAGCATTCCATACACATATTTTTAAAAGTAAAAAAAACCAAAAAAATCATTATATCCGCTTACACCCAACTCAAGAATATTTATTAGACTAAAAAAGTAATTTAATGTGACAAGGCACATTTTAGAGCAGAGGTTGAATACTACCAAAAATAGTCAGCAATATGGAAAAGAAACCTTGAAAAAAAATCAAATAATATGAAATTTAAAAATTGAAAGTGATTAGAGAAAAAAATACGAAAGACAGATAATAGAGCATAACATGTTGCTGAACCAAGAGGCTTGAACAAATAAAAGAGAAAAATATACAAATTAACAAAAAAGACACAAGTAATATGCTCTTTCAGAAAAAAATTGAGGCTGGGTGCAGTGGCTCACACCTGTAATCCCAGCACTTTGGGAGGCTGAGATGGGCGGATCATCTGAGGTTAGGAGTTCAAGACCGGCCTGGCCAACATGGTGAAACCCAATCTCTGCTAAAAATACAAAAAAAAAAAAAAATTAGCCGAGAGTGGTGGTGTGTGCCTGTAGTCCCAGCTATGTGGGAGGCTGAGGCAGAA